TTCTTTCCCACACATCTTTTTCCTTCTGTGTTGTATGTAGAACATGGTAGAGTGCTTTTACAGAGATGGCACCGATAGTTTTTTTTAACCTTTTTCTATTAATGTATCTAATTTTCTAAGTAATTAAATATATGTTTAAAATTGTATTCTGTTACCATTTTATTATTTTGTCTTACTTTTTATGAGTAAAAGGACTGGAATGAAAGGAATGTGCTTGTAATGTATTACCACAGTTGTCAAGATAATACTAACTCATGTCTTTGAATGTTCTTGTCTCCTGTTACTTCCTAATAATTTTATCTCTTATAGACTGTAAAAATATAAATAATAGTATTTAATATAGATATACATATTCTTAACAATCTGTCATTTTTGCTCCGGCAGCTGATCTGTCTGCCACTCCACATTATGGTTCTGGTGAAGGGCATATAATATCTTAAGTAGGGAAACATTTAAAGTTGTTAAGTTTAAATGTGCCCTGAGGAGAACAGTGACAAAGGTAAAAAAGCAAAAGGTATGTTTTGGCAACTCTCTTCATGTTCTTATTTTAGACAGTAAGTAGGATCAGTTTGTAGGATGAAGGTCTTGTAGGACTTTATGCAACAGAGAAGAACCTTCTTTATTGATTTATAAATAGATATTGAAATGCTAAAGAAACCAAAGATGCTTTATCCTTTATCAGTACAACCAGGTCTTCATTACTGACACTACCCTCATAATAAGTAACTTGGTTTCCTAGACATTGCTCTTAAGAGGTGTCTTGGCTATTCTTGGGTCTTGCTCTTCTCTATTAATTTTAAAATCAACTTAAAACCCTTTTAGAATTTTAATTTGCATTGCAATAAGTTTTAGATTAATGCTGGTATTAAACCTTTCAATATATGAATAAGGTATATCACTCCATTTAATTATGTATCTGAAAGCTTTCAACTAAGTTTTATAATTTTTAATTTTCTCCATAAGCACCTTTAGTAGAATTTTTAGTTGTTTAATTTTTTTTGTTTTTGGTAATGCAAATGACATTGCTAAAAATATATTTTACTTTCTTGTGCACGCAGTTGGTTTTTGTATATTGTTCTAACAACTTGATGAATTCTTACTAATTTTAATAATTTAACTATAAGTTCCCTTTATAGTCATAAAATCTACAATGACAATCCTTTTCAATTTTTTGTATTTTTTTTATAATTGCCAAAACTTTTCATATTTGAAATTTGGGGCTCAAGTTGTCTTTAAATTAAAAAGTAGTATTACCTAATTAATAGTATGGCTACAGAGTGTACAGCAATTTTAAATAGCTTAGTAGTATTTTGATTAATACAGAATCTATTTAAATTTCATTTAATAAATAAAATTTTATTAAGGTACTAGTCTATTATAAATAAAAAATTATTTTTTTCACAATTCATATACTAGAGTCCTATACTAGTGGTATAGGACAGTGAAAGATTATTCATTTATGAATATATGTGAAATATGTTTAAATTTTAACCTATTTGTTACTGGTTCCTGACTAGGACAAGGAGGCAATTAAGGGGGGATTATTAGAAATGGCCTGGCCACCCTGATGGAGGACTTGCCTAGTCCTTCAGTGTTTGGCAAACATAATAGCAGGAAAAAGTATTTTAGACCATTTCCCTATTCTCTGCAGATTTTTTTCAAATGGGTTTCATACCTCCTTTTTGAGAAGTTTTAACATGTTTCATATTGATCATTTTTAAAATCTATAAAAACCTTCTTGTGATATTCTATTTATAGATTAGATACCAAGAAATGGTAAGAAAACAAAATCATAAGTTTCTATGTTTTTTTAAATCTGAAAAAGTGAAGAAGTTATGCTTTACTAATACCATATGTATATTTAAACTAGCAAATACATATGACGTACAGAGTAATTAGTAGTAGGTATATGGATATCTTCATTTTTTTAACCAATTGGAGTATGTAATTCAAAAATAGTAACCATGGTGTAATAGGACTTCCTATAAAATTTCAGTACTCTCTTTTTCTTTGGTTTTGTGTTAAGAGAAGGCTTTATTACCATGCCATTTGCAGGGCCTTGAATAAATCACACACAGTAGTATAGGTTTACCACACTAAAACTACCATATTCTTGTACTGATTAGATATATTTGGTTTTAATTATAATACTTTAATAAGGCAAAACTAACTTACTATTGTTATTCAAAGGAATGTCTCAGTGTAGACTTCTTTTTGGATTTTGATTCCAGCAATAATTGATTTTTTTTAAAGATTTATTTATTTATTCGTATAGAACTGGGATACAGGCCAGAAATGCAGAAGGTGAGAAGATTCACCAGAGACAGAGTGGGGTGCAGAACAGGCAGATCAACGAAGTACACTACTGAGAGGAGCAGTGGGCGGGTCAGGAGAGGTCTGCCTCGCCCTGTGGATCTCATCGGGGCAGTCAGGGATCGAACTCTTGGGGAAGTGGCTTAAGCTTCTTTGTGCTGTGCTTTAACCCGCTGCGCCACCAGGGAGGGCCAGCAATAATTGATTTTATACACACTCAGTGAAGATTTAAAATAGCTGTCGTGATGTTAACCTTATATCAAGGAAAAAGACACTCTAAGGAGTCAATAAATTAGACATCATCATAACTAGTAATAAGAGAGTGTTTATTAGCATAGGCTTAGTTAAATATAAGATCTGACAACTTGTGTAGTAAATAGAGCCTGGAAATTATGAACTGTGTTTTGTGTAACATACTTTTGTGAAGAGAGATTTTTTCTGTTTCATATTATGGATGTCAAAATATTGAAAAAAAGATGGAAGTATACAACTTCTCATTAAGTACAATAGCAGTTACTTTGTTTTAGCAAACTAACAGCATCCACCAAATGGAATTAATGATTTTAGACCATTACATTGATGGTCTTGTTGGAATTTAGTATTAATATTAATATTTTAAAATAATTTAACTTAGAATTTTCTCTTTATAATTTTGTAAGAGCTGTAATCTTAAAGGGGTCACATATACTTCGGTATCATACAAATACTTTAACACTTGGAACAAGTGAAAATTTTTTAAATCGGAAATGGTCTAGAATGTTTCTAATGGTTTTAGAAACAGTGAATAAAACTATGTAGCTAGACTTCAAAACCATTGTAATATAGTCTGTATCTTGACATGATTTTCATTTATTATTCACATATGTAATAATTTTATGCTATATTGATTTATGTTAACTGAGGTAGTATACTTATTTTGAGTCTCAAAATTGTATGTAGAAAAAAATGTTGATTGAATTTATAATTTTAATCTTAAATTTCTACTTTATTAACATAGTATCATATCTATACAATAAGGTTGTATAGATAATTAAATAATTATTTCCTTTTAGAGAGTGAAATTAATCTTAAATGAAAAGCATGACCTAAAGGAATAGGTTTTTTTTTATATTGAGATTTTGAGGTCAGTTCACATTTATTTATTAGTGGCTCATAACAAAAAAAAAGATGTGATTGACAATAACTAATGTAATATGTTAGTAATGGAAGCTAAGTAGTAATGTAAATGAATTTTCTTGAGTTATTAAAAAATGAGAAAATATGTTTTCCATTTTAAGAAGAAATTCATAGAATTTCACCATTCTTGAGTATGAATAGTAACAGCTGAAAATCTGATCTTTGAATGTGGCAGGGTTGGAACCATTTCAAAATAGATTTCTAGCCAATTTTTAAGAAAAATCACAATGTTTCCATTTTGAACTTTAATGTATTTGGAACATATGCAGTGGAACATTTTCTTCTTACTGTCGTATGCCAACTAATTCCATATTGCACATTAATTTTCTCCTTATGTTTGGGAAGTTCAAATATATGATAAAGAATTGCTTGATTCATGTGCACCAGTTTTGATGGTAAGGTCAATATGAGAGGCTTTTTAAGGGAGCTTTTGCCATTTTCTTTTAATGAATATATATACAAAAAATGCAAGTGTTTCATTTACTCAGTGCATGTTTATTGAATACTTATTGTATTCTAGTAGCAGTCACTAAGCCTGAGTGATCAGCTGGTCAACAGGATAGAGCCTTTGTCCTCAGAGAGTTTATGTTCTTATGGGAGTAGTAGCAGGAAATCACAGGGATTTATCTGTAGAAATTAAAACATATAGTGGGAATAGGTGCTTTAGAGATTGGAATGATATGGGATTTGGGAAGTGATATGTCTAAATTAGGTCATTAGCCCTTAAAGTGGGAAAAACTTGGCATTTTCCTGAAACAGAAAGAAGATCGATAGGGAAGGAACTTAGGGAACATGGGCGGTAGAGGCTGAAGTTAGGAAGATAGACCACATTTATTAAGCCTTGTAGACAGAACGAGTAGCTCCACTTTTCCTCTTAATTATAATGGGGAATGCTTGAAGGGGTTTATGTTAGGAAGTTTAGTGATGTATTTAAGGTTGATCATTCTGGCGACTATAAAGAGAATGAACTGTCAGAGCATGAGAGTTGAAGCAGGAAGCCATGTAGAGAGTTATTTATTCCGGCATCTAGTTTCTGTGTCTTAGGGAGATGGTCTAGAACCAGTGGGAAGTGATTGTATTGGAGATGTAACACAGTGGTATCATGATTGTCCATGGATGGATTGATTGCAAGTTATCACAATTAAACATTTGGAGTTTTGACAGTAAAGTTCTTTGGAATATCATAGTCATGTGAACTCTGCAAGTCTTAAGAATGTCAGATATTGGAAAGGAGAGTGGAGGTCCTTTCTCTTTCCTTTGCTATCCAATACAAAATAATAATCTTAGGATAAAAATTTAAGCTATTATTAGTAACTTTAAATTCTGCAGATAATTTCATGTCTGAGAGTTCATATTTCTTTAATACACTAATTAAAATTATGTAAAAAGTACTTTTTGTTATTTTTAATGAAGAAAAGCGCACATGCTGACTCTATGATGTAAATAAAATAGATCTGTTTTTATCTTCTTGGTTTTATTTAAGTAGTATATTTACTCTGCTTTTCCCCCAGTCACATTGTGCTGATGCTTGCAGACGACATGGCATGCAACCCTAGAAATCCTAAACCAGCTACAGTGTTCAGTCATAAGAATATGGAACTAAATGTATACGGAGATGATGTAGAAGTGGATTACAGAAGCTATGAGGTAAATTATTTAATTTAGTGACATTTTTGAAATGGAATTATGCTCTAAAATGGTGATCAAATAAAAGTCAGTCTTTTTCTTCAAACTTTGTGTAGTGTTGATATAATAATGTCTCTAGGGTTCATATTAAAGAAAGATTAGATGAATAAAATTTATTACAACATAAACATAATAGTCACGCATTTAGGAATAGAACAATTTTATGTTGACTTCTGTATTAGTTTTAGTAGGTTACTGGTATCTGTTCTTTTACAATAAATGTTATTTATTTTTCATATTTGATATAAAATTCCAAGTTTTGCATTTATAGTAAATATATTAATTGTGGAAAATTAAAATGACAAAAATTCACCCATTTCTACTGCTCACAGATAAATTTTTTAATATGTTTCCAGATTTTTATTTGTATATGATTAAAAGCGAAACTGTAAATTTACAAAAGTGGTGTGTTTTCTTCCCTTTTTTTGATTTATTTTATTTATGCATGTAAGAACTGGGGTGTAGACCAGAGGTAAAGGTGGTAAGAGACAGAGTGGGGAGCAGAATAGGCAGATCTACTGAAATACACTGCTGAGGGGAGACTGGAAGAGGTCTATTGCTCCATGTGCTGCAGTGGCTGGCGATTGCTTTATAGTGCTGGGACTTTAATCCCTGTGCCACAAGGGAAGCCCTGTTTTTCTCCTCTGAAACTTCATTTTAAATTTAATAGATGGTGAATGTGTTTGATTTGAAGTCTTCCTTGATGAAGTCTTTCTTGGTAATCCTTCCCCTTTCACCATGCCTTCCAAAAATAAGAAACAGTTTCTTGTGTTTGCAGTCCTATTGTTTTTTTATTTAATTAAGCAATTTTTTTTTACATCACTCTTCATACATTTTTCCATTTCAGTTTTAATTCCCATGGGTTTCTCACCACCACTTCACCTGTGTGTCATCGTCATAGTCTCATGTCCTCTTACCACCCCAGTTTTTATCCCATTCCCTTTCCAACCCATACCATGTCTCTGGTTTATAGTTGTTCGTTATTCTCATTTTTTACTTCATTACATTTGCTTCTCTCTATATATTTTTTTCCCTTTTCTTTTCCCCCTGATCCCTTACACTCCTGCTATGAGTGAAACCATCTGTTATTTTTCTTTTTCTTTCTGGCTTATTTCACTAAGCACAATCCCTTCCAGCTCCATCTATGTTGCTGCAACAGGCATGAGTTTATCTTTTTTTGATTGCTGAGTAATATTTCATTGTGTATGTATACCATGTCTTTTTAATCCAGTCATCTACTTTTGGGCATTTGGGTTGATTCCACGTTTCCCTATTGTAAATAGTGCAGCAGTAACCATGGGTGTATCCTTTGGGTAGATACATATGAGAGGGATTGCTGAGTCATATGGAAACTCCATTTTTAGCAGTTTGAGAAACCCTCAAACAGCTTTTCATAGTGGTTGTACCAGTTTGCATTCCCACCAGCAGTGCAGGAGAGTTCCTTTTTCTCCACATCCTCACCAACATTTGTTGCTAGTTCCTATTTTGAAGCAATTTTAAAAGCATCTTTAGGTCTCAGGCTGTAAAATCCTTGAAGACATGACCAATATATGTCTTATACCTATGGCCCTTTGACGGCATGCAGAAATGTTTGTTCAGTGATTATATTTGGGGGACTTTTACTTGTTTATTTAAACATTATTAAATGTAGACCAAAATTTACTTGTTGCTTGCCAACAAGAAATTCTGTTATAGCACTTAGCATATTGCTCTATTTTGAGGAAAGTATAAATCAAACAGTTCACACGTATGCATGCACACACATTTACATAACCATGATGTGGGAAAAAGTTAACAAGAAAACTGGATAGACTTTTTGCATTTTAAATGTAGATCTCTTTAATATATGATTTAGCTGTTAAGTTTAAATTGGCATGATACCATTTATAACTGTAAATATGCTTTCAAAGAAGCTATGAGGTCCAGAAACTTCAAGTGGGAAATCTGACTTAAACCATTATAGTTTTTTTTAACATGTTAAAGATACCTCTAATGAAACAGGTAATAAAGTACATTTTAAAAAAATCAAAGATAAGTAATTTGTGGCATTATTTATGGACTTATCTTTATGGTTTCCTTTTTATGATTTACCTTTCTCATTTCAGCTGGAATTAAATAAGTAATTACACAGATTAACTGTAATCATTATACCATATTATTCAAATTTTATTGTATCTTTATAACAAATTGAGTACAGATTAATAATTTTTGCGCTTTTGGTAATACTTTGCATAGCATTTACAGTTTTAAATTTAGAAGTAACTTATTTTTTCATAGGTAATATGTGTTCATTTTAGTTTTTTTAAATGGAAGCAAGGTTACTTTGAGCTATGTATTCAAATATTTAATTGACTACAACTGAAAAAAACTGAAAAATGTATTTCATTAAAAATATTTCTTTTTGTTTTATTTTCATTTTTATTTATATTGAGCCATAGAGAAAGAAGTAGGAGTGTTTTGAAAGTAAAAAAAAAATACTAGTTTCCCCAAGTTTCTTCTATTTTATGTTTTTTTTAGGTAACTGTGGAGAATTTTTTACGAGTATTAACTGGGAGGATCCCACCTAGTACTCCTCGTTCTAAACGTCTTCTTTCTGATGACAGGAGCAATATTCTTATTTATATGACAGGTAATCTCAGATTTTAGACATTTAATAATGGAATATATTGTAACTTTTCAAAAAGAAATCTGCATGGAAAGAAATTTAAATACTCTAAATGATTGTTGGTTAAAAGTTAAATTGTTAAATAGTTCTTTTTCTACAATATGGTATTAACTTGAAATGATATTTGAACTATTGCTGTCCTTTTTCTTCTTATCTTTTCTTTTTATTGACTATCCTAAGAAAACTTGCCACCTTTTACTTACATACTGATGTAGCCTTTTTGACTTCAGTTTTTTCCCCATTATTCTTTTCAGTGAAATGTTTAATAGAAATCACAAATCTGTTCCTTTTTCTGCTTAACTGTTTAATCTTTTGCATTGATTGGTTCTCAAATTTAAGTGTGCATAATGAGTACCTGAAAGAAGATAAGAACTTTTCCTAAAATTCTGAGTTAGTTTGGAATGGAGTTGGGTTTATGAAACTGCTAATTAAATATATTCATCAGGTATGAGCGATGGTAGTCTTTTCATTAAACTTTGAGGAATATTGGTGATGAAATACTAATATAATTAAGATACATTAACTTAGTTGTATCTAATACATATTATCAGTTATTCAATTTCGGTTCTTAAACTTTTTCTTATTATCTGCCATACCTTTGATCTCGAGCTTCTAACCTCACTTTTCCTATCTGATTATTCCTTCTCTTTTTAGTCTTAGCTCAATCGTTACATCCTTCAGCGATTTTTCCTTTTAAGTCTAGGGTCACTTATGGCTCCAGTTGTCTGAGACAGTCCTAGTTATCCTTGTTTCCAACCTGTCCCATTATTACAGTCTTCTTTATCCCTCAGAAGTGTCCTGGGATGAATGATACAGTTTACAGTTGTCTTTTCATGGCAGCGTCGGCTCTCTTTGCACTACCATATTAATCCATAGTTTCTGTCTTAGTGTTTAATTTTTTTGTTTGCATAGTTACTGCTTCAGTAGATTTTGAACTTCAAGATGACACCTATAATGTGTTATTTATCCTTTTTAGCCACCAGTGGACTATCTTATGGTAGTATTCACTAAAATGAGTGGTGATCAAATGATAAATTTTTTTCCTGAGCATATTCCATTCAATGGATGATGGAACAGGTGCGGAATTAGATGTTGCTCAGCAGGACAGTTACTGACCCCCCACTTAGTGGCTTGCTTGCTTTATCGTGTTGCATTTATTTGCAGCTTTGATTTAATCAATTTATAAACTTTAAGAGAGTTAATATAGCCAGGATAATTTTCATTTTACATGACCTGAAAGTTATAACCTTGTCAAATAAGATGAAGTACTGTCTTGTAACTCAGTTTTATTTAATGTGCCAGACTAACGGTTTTAATGATATTTCCTCACCCCCCTCACCCCTACCAATGAGTCTGCTTGTACTTTTTCAAGATAATTCCAGTTATGGAAGAACTTCCTGTTGTCTATGGTTGTGTATGGTAAAACTATAATAGAGTGGCTCTGTTTTATAAATAAAATTTTTATTAGAGTATGTTGCATCAGTTGTTTCATAATATCCATGACTGCTCTCACACTGAAGTGGCAGAGTCCAACATCAGTTTTTAGGTGAGGACTGCATTTCCTAGTAGTACTTCCCTGTATACTTCTATGTTTTTTTAAAAAATATTTATTTATTTATGCATACAGAACTAGGGTATAGGCCAGAGGGTGTGGGTAAGGGATGTTGTGTGTGAGAGACACAACAACAGAGACAGAATGGGGAGCAGATCAGGCAGATTGACAAAGTACTGAGGGGGGCAGTGGGCAAGACAGGCAAGGTCTGTGCCACGTGGGTCACCTCCCTGCCCAGGGATCTAACTTGTACTGAGGGCTGTGGCTAGCTTCCTAATGTTTTGCTTTAACCATTTGCACCACCTGGGAAGGTCCTTCCCAGCATACTTCTAAGTAGACACTGAATAGTATACCATAGCATCAGCTCACGTCTTTAGCTCCTTTCTCACCAAAAATGTTTGCATGGTATTTGAAAATTTTTATATATGGGAATTCATTTCTGGTGTAATAATGGAGACAGTAAAGGAGTATATATAAGTGTGCTTTTCTAGAATTGAGTGATAGAAACACTCTTTAAGATTTATCCATATTTTTTATAGTTTACCATTCTTTAACTTATATGATAGAAAATTAAATATTTTTGCAGTATTTTATTTTAGAGAGTAAAATAGCAAATTACATAAAAATATTCACATCTAAAAGTATGCAGTTTACTTTAAAAGAAAGTTTCTGTTTGGTCTTTTTGACTTTTTCTACAAGGACATGGTGGAAATGGTTTCTTGAAATTTCAAGATTCTGAAGAAATTACCAACATAGAACTTGCAGATGCTTTTGAGCAAATGTGGCAGAAAAGACGGTAACTATTAAATATTTACTTTTCCTAAGATAAATTAATACCTAATTTTTCAATGATTCTTACTGGATTTTAACTTATTTCAGTCATTTGTTCTATTCTTTTAGATTTATGTCTGTTGTTTATACTGAATTGTTATGTTTAAAAAAAATTCACAGCTATTAAAGATCATGAATAGGTAGTTAATCTTTAAAATAATCTTGCAGGAACTACAAGTCCTACTAAAACCAAGTTCCCCATTATGTTGGGGAGATAATGAACATGTTTATTTTCTAATTTATACCTATTCCTACTTTTTTGCTCATTCCCTGACCCTCACTGTGATAGCAGTACATTCTTTCTTTCATAGGAAAAAGTGCTAATTATGATTAGCATAAATACAATTTACATTAATGTTGAAATATTGCTAATAAATGGTAAGCAATCCTTTATTTGAAAGTTGGCATATGAATTTGAGTGAGTTTAAGCTACCAATTCACTGTTACCCTCTAAACATGGCATGAAGGGGAACCTAATGCTTATTTTGTCTTCAAAGTGTATGGAAATATCAACGTAGAAGTTATTTCTAGGTACTAGCTGTGACTCAGTCACAGCCTACATTTATTGAATGTAGACTAGGTGCTGGGTTCTGGGTTTTAAATGTGTTGTCTAAGGGGCAGATACTGTTGTTATTCCCATTTCTACAAATGAGTAAATTGAGTCACATATAGATTTAGTAACTTACCAAACTACCCACTAGTTAAGCGCCAGCACTAGGCTATACACCCCGGTGGCTGATTTTAGAGCTTGCTTTCTTAGTTGTTTTATTGTGCCTTCTACCATTGGCTTGGATTTTATGGTTCAAGATCCCATGCTTTCTTTTCTAAGTGCAGTGTTAGCTGTTTACCTAGATCCAGTGTCTGAAAGAAACTGCTAAGGAAGCATACCTGTTCCCTGCTTTCAGCTTTACCAGCTAGCAGTTTATTCTAAAATACAGAGCTAATCATGTTATTCTTTCCATTAAAAAAGCCTTTGGTGGCTTTTTGAAACTTCTAAGATTCAAATTTCACATGGAATACTTGACAGGCTGACAGTGCCCTCAGTTTGAAACTATTTCCCTATCTTTCCCCTAGGTTTACTGAAATCGTAGTTATACAAATAATATTCCCTTTTTCCCAGAACACTTGTATTTTTTCACATTTGTGCTTTTTCTGATAGACTTTTTCCTTTGCTGGAATGTGCTATTCTTTGTCTGTTAGATAACATAACTAGATAACAACTCTCACCCCTCATTGTCCACCTTAGGCATCCCCTTTTCCTGACCTGCTTTCGTTTACAGTTCCCTCTGTTCTTTTCCTGTGCTCTGGAAATTCCTTGACTTGCTCATAATCTAGTTCTATAAAGGCAATTAATTGTAATTGAAGGTAATTAATTGTTTTATCCCTGGAAGAATGTCAGGAACATTATAGGTTCTTAATAAATACTTGTAACATTTATACCACATTCCAGTTTAGTTAGATGGATGTGTACCTTGGTCCAGTTAGTAAGCTCTTTGAATATGTTGGCTGCATCACATGTATTTTTTTCCTGGCTCAGTTTCTAGGTGAGTTAGGTACCAAGTAAGTCTTTGTTGAATCGAATATTCATTTAGATGCTGCATCATGTGCATAGATAAGGGAGGGGAAAGAGTTGGGGCAACCACTTTTTTTTTTTTTCCAATAATATAATAGTTTATTTTTGCATCATTTTGTACCTTTTCCATCGGGACAGCCACTTTTTAGCACACCTACTACGTGCATTGAGATATTTCCCTGTACACAATTATACCTTTAATTTTCTAGTTTTTTTAGTTTTACCAGGTTTATATTGGGAATTATGCTGAAAATTCTCAGGTTTTTAGCTAATGAAACATTAAGATAACTTTAACATCTTACATTATGAAAGTATTATAAAACATTAGCCAGTGTATAATTAATATATGATTCATGTCAAAGATAATTATCACTTTTCTTTCAGCTACAATGAACTACTATTTATTATTGACACTTGCCAAGGAGCATCCATGTATGAACGATTTTATTCTCCTAATATAATGGCTTTAGCTAGTAGCCAAGTGGGAGAAGATTCACTCTCGGTATGTGTGTTTTTTTTTTTTCTTTTTTGGTTAAGTGCAGTTTCTAAACTGCAGCTCTCTTGGGCATGTAGCTATTTTTGAAATCACATCTGTGCTTTATGAATATACCTAATATTTTTAATTCTAATACTTTTTAACACCTTAGGAGGAAACTTTGATTACAGTCTAAATATTTTGTTATAGTGGTGTTGTTTTAGACAGAAAACATTTTTTTTTCCCCATAGCATCAACCGGATCCTGCAATTGGAGTCCACCTTATGGATAGATACACGTATTATGTCTTGGAATTTTTGGAAGAAATAAATCCAGCTAGCCAAACTAATATGAATGACCTCGTAAGTGTTTACTTGATTGATTATAACCCTTAGATATATTAATTTTAATGAAATGAATGATGTATGAAGTCTCTTTATAACCTAGCTCTTCAAGGTACTGTTTCCTATAGAATGATGATCTTTTAAATTGCTTTGAATTTCCTTTTGCAATAGTCTCTCTCTTTTTGCCCCTAAGAGACCTAAAGCTTTAGCCTCATTAACTTGCTATTCTTTGGGAGTCAGTCTTTTTCTCACTCATTTGCCTTAGGCTCTTTTCTCTACCAGAAGTGTACTATTTTTATATTCACAAGTTGATATTCTACCCTTTCCTTGGGAATCTAATCAGGTACTTTTCTTCCAGGAACTCTTCCCATATTGTTCCTGGATAGAATTTATGTAAGAGTAATATAATAGTCTGTTCTTATTGAACAGTGATTTTTTTCATGATTATGAACATTTTTCTCATTTTTAATTTTGTAGTTTCTGGAAAATCAGGATCTTCTCTTATGTATTTTTGTGTACCCTGAAACTTCTAGAAAGTGTTTTCATGTAGCCTGTTGAATTTTGTGCACCTTTCCTCCCTGACTTTTCTATACTGGTTAAATATGTAAATTTTAGTTTAATCTATTTTGAATTTGGTAGTCAAAGCAGGCATCAAAAGAAGTTTGAAACAACAAGCTAGATTGGATAATTATGGTGCGTCAATGACTTTCACTCATTTTTCCATTAATTTACACCTGTTCATTTAGTCACAAGCATCTGGTGTTTTTTCTAAGTGCAAGGCACTATCTGAGCCCTTAAGAGTTAGACACTTCCCTGTCTCGTGGTTCTTAAGGCTTAGCATTGCAACCAGTTTTGCATTGATCTCCTTTGTTATACAGAAACCTTTTATTGTGTGGAAATTTTTCTTTTTTTAAGATTTATTTATTTGTACATACAGAACTGGGGTACAGGCCAGAGGCTCAGGGGCGGCGAGAGGCTTCACCAGAGACAGAATGGG